TTTTAATTACAATAGTCAAACAAAATGAAATTCAAAATTACATTTAACTTAAGTTCATTTTGGTTAATACAGCATTTAATCAACATCTATACTAAACATATAGAATACTAATTATAAATTATAAAATAAATAAAGTTGAATGCAAAATTAATGAAAATATATGGAAATTTCCTAGAAATTTGCTAAGAAATCAGTAAAATTAACTAAAAATTTTTCAAAAATTTTTATAAATTTCAGCCAAAATTTAAGAAAAGAAAATTTTCTAAAAATTTTTTAAAATTTTCATTAAAAATTTTTCAAAAATTTTCTCGTTTCGAACGCTAGTTTTTAAGATGTTTTTATTTTTGAAATTAACTATCTAGTTGAAATTGGTTTACTTAATATTTATATAAAACCTTTTAAAAAATAAAAACCTGTGAATAATAACCAGCCCGATAAGCATACACTTTCTGTCCATATACAGTAATACAAAACAATTAATATATTAATTAATTACAGTTAACTTTCTATAATTATATTAATGTATGATACCAAATTGTAATATAATATTATATCAATAATTATGATTGTGATAGTGATTGTGATTAGTTATTTGTTGCTATTTATTACTTGCTTGGTGCAATAGTTTGTTGGGTAAAAATTTTAACTAGTTAATTTAATTATTTATAAAGTGGTTGTTTTTTGTTCCGAATAACTTTATAAGTATATAATTTAAACATTTTATATATTCTATAATTAAAATTAATTTTTTATAAAAGTATTTTAGTATTAATATTCATCAAACACAGTGTTATTGCTTAGAATACAATGTTATTGGTGCAATATAAAAATTATCAAGTTCATTCCCGTTAAGTTAATAGTCGACATAAAAATTAAATTATCATATAAATAGTATGTTGTTATTTGATCCAAATATTTATTTATATATAATATCTGTAAATATAATATAATACAAACAATTATCTTAATTAATTAATGCAGTTTGATTTGAATACATGTATCTTAAACTATAGTTAACCCTAAAAAGTTACTGAATTGACTAAAACATAAAATACCTAGTTGATTATGGTTATCTTAATTATTTTATCAAACTTTAAAATTTAAATTTAAATTGAATACAGTTTGTTATAATTATAACTCGTGTACAGTATAGAATTGCATTGTAAATAATATAATACTGTTAAATGATAATGACAACAATAACTGTTAGTTACCTTTTTCGCTAATGAATATATTAAAATAGTCATAGATTTTAAAATCAATTTCTACCAAGTTAATTCTGTGACATTAAAGTTTATACAATTTAAAATAAGAAACTAGTTTAAATTTAGTCTAAAAATTAACACATTGTCTTTGAATATAATTAAAACATTTAGTATGATTAATTAATTATAGTTTGATGCAATGTAGAAGTATATAAAGTCAGTTAACCCTGGTACTCAGGATACTAATTCAAACTTGTTGTTAGAAAAATAATAACAATTTAATAATTATAGTTACCTGTGTTTTTCAAGTAAAATAAACAAGCAAATTATAAATAAAGTGAGGCGGCTATACAGAATCCAATTAGTGATATATTATGTTAATGTTAAGTATTTTCGTGTTATGTCTGTCAATAGATTGAAAAATAATTATTTTAATTTATAATTACAGTCGGCTTTCTATACACGCGTATCAACCGACAATTAACCCTGGCGCTATTAATCAGCATACAAAGTATGGCCACCATATTCATGCCGTACTCCACGCAGATATGGCACCTGTATCTCTGCATATTCCTGTATGGCTTGGGTATAGGCGCCTGGAATAACTCCAATAACGTTATACTCATTGAGATGTGGCAACAGTCGAGTCCATCGTTTTTGCAGTTTTCGCAGTTTATTTACGGTTTGGGCACCATATTAGGGCCCCTTATTGTGGGCCCCTACCTAACGGGGGAAGTGGATTACATGGAGAGGTTGGAGGTGGGCAACGGCACCTATAGGTTGCTGTGGAACGACACTACAGTTATGGATAACGAGTGGCAAAGGAGGTCTAGATTGAAGTTCCCGTATATGGTGGGAGGGCTGTTGCAAATGATTGGTAAGTTTTGGTTAATTAAATATAGAAATTTATGAACTTGGTAAAAGTTTGTGATCGTATATAATTAGTGATTTTATTTTTTGAATTTTGAAGTTTAAGTTTTACATTGATTTGTGTGAATAACAGGAATTTTCCGCTTATTTACGAAAACTTTCAGATATTATAAGGAATTTAACGAAAAATATTTAAAAATATTTTCTCAATGTTTATATAAAATGATTGAAATATTTTGTGATAACTGTTTGAATTTTATTTTTAAACATTTTACTTGCTTTCAAAGAATATCATTAATATTCACAAAACATATGATTATTGAGTAAATCACATATAAATGCATTTGAATTAAATTATCGTCATAAATGTAAACATGGTATTTTTTCTTTATGCAAACTGTTATCAAAAACTTTATCAATAACTCTAAAGCAATTATTGTAGACATTTAGACTACTAGAGCAGTCGACACATCATTTTAAATACTAGCTTATCATAACATTTTTTAAATGGCATTCATAGGCACCTGTACCCAGCTATTTAATAATTATTTTAACCCACTATTATCTCCAGGTCCATCTCTAATGTTTCTGATGTATGTCTGCCGGCCCTACAAATACCACTCGGAGGAGGAGGACAATGGCACCGGCGATGAGCGACAGCCCCTCATCACTAGCATCCAGAAGCTAACGCTGACCATACCTAAAAAAGCCATCATAATCTGCGTATCAGTCTACCTGGCCTATGGCATCATGTCTGATAACATGTATATGGACTTCAGTCCCACATTCTTCCAGTTCTCGCCCCTAAGACTATCGGCCAATAGGGCGGCAGAAAT